TACTTTAGTAGCTTGACAAATTTTGCCTTCCACACATTAGTTTGACACATTTTGCTTCCACACATTAGTAGTTTGACACATTTTGCCTTCCATAATTTAGTGGCTTGACAAATTTTGCCTTCCACACATTAGTAGTTTGACATATTTTGCCTTCCATAATTTAGTGGCTTGACAAATTTTGCCTTCCACACATTAGTATTTTGACACATTTTGCCTTCCATAATTTAGTGGCTTGACAAATTTTGCCATCCACACATTAGTAGTTTGACATATTTTGCCTTCCATACTTTAGTAGCTTGACAAATTTTGCCTTCCACACATTAGTTTGACACATTTTGGTTCCGCACTTCAGTAGTCTGACACATTTTGCCTTCCATACTTTAGTAGTTTGAGAAATTTTGCCTTCCACAGTTTAGTAGTTTGACACGTTTTGCCTTCCATAAATTCCAAGAATTTTACTTTTACTTTCATTTCTGAATGCAATGAAAACAGATGTTTTTTGTTGGTTTGTTGTTTGTTTTCTTTAGTTTATTTTTCAACACTAAAGGAACTGTGTATGGACATAGACCAATAATAGGGAGCTGGCCCGGTTAATTAAAAATGTTTTATTTAACTACCTAAGATGAGCCATAAGATCCTCTTACCCTCAGTTCCTTCAGTTCTTTAACAGCTTCTTCGTAGTTCTGTTTTTCATCTCCATTCATCTGACAACAAAACATATTTTACTGAAACCAGCTTGTGAAAACGCGAAGACACAAATAATCGGAACGATCTGTCATTCTCTTAATCTGAAGACCAGCCAAACACACGGACAAAAATCAAACATCCTCAACTCGGTATTTTACACAACAAAGCAGCTGTAAACTTTCCTACCTTTAAATGTTTTGTGTTTCTGCAGAGGGCCAAAAGGAAAAAACAAGAAACTAAATGTGTAAAACGTCAGTGAAATTTAGGTTACTGAGAACTGCGAGTTGCAAATTAAAAGTGAAACTTACATACCCCATAGCTATCATGAAGGCTAGAATTCCAGCATAGTTATATAAAAGCTAGATCAGACAAATCCGCTGTTGGCCATTGGAGCAATGGAGACCGACGTCCTCACACGGCAGCCATCTTGGGAGGGGAGCTTGCCCACTCTTAACATGAATATGTGTGGTGTATTTACTGTTTAAATAATCATAACTTGGTCAATTTTGATCGGATTTTCAAACGGATTCTTTTGTTGTAAAGGTGAGCCATGTTTTTATAAAACTGAATAGTCATAATGGACATTCATCTTTACATTATCTTGATAGGTGAAATCAATGATGAACAGCTGTATCAATACATACACAGAATATATATTAGGTTACTTTTACAGGTATTTACAAATAATAATATAAAACAAAATTATACACAAGTCAAAAATAGTACAAAATAGTACTAGCAGTGGTAATTAATATGAAAGAACCACCATGTTTTATATATTTTTTGTTTTTCCCTCGAAATGCAAATATTACCCTTTATAAATCTTTTACATAATAAAATTGTGCTTTACACAATGTGTGTTTGTGTGTGTGTGTGTGTGTGTGTGTGTGTGTGTGTGTGTGTGTGTGTGTGTGT